GTGAGGGGAGGGGGATCAGATCGCATTTAACGCTAAATGCGCGATGAGAAAACGCGCCATTACGTCGCCCGTACACGGGCAAATATTTACTGTTTTTCTTCAATTTCGCGCTATATTTCTCAGGTATATTGCGAGGAGAGAAAATACCGCGGAATCGATGTACGGTGGGAAAACCGCATCGATCATACGAGCGCGTTCGCTCTGTGTAAGACTTAAATAAGCTCGATGTTTACCGCTTTATCGTACCGCGACGGTGCGCGGGGCGCGCTCTACTCGTTTTCGCGCACGAAAATGCATAGTAAATCACCGGTCTGTTCTACGTTCCCGCCGACGACGGCGACGCGGTGAGCGCGAGCGCAGAACTTTTCCACGCGTCGTTCCCGATGTATTTTCACGTATTGGGGAACAACCGTCGGCGGGAATCAAAAGGGTGAGCCGAGGGTAACTAAGGTTTCCGATTTCCGGACACACCGTGCCCCACCGTCCACCTTTTGTCCGCGATCCTTTGAAGTCCCACGTAAACTCGATAGTGTTTCTCACGCGCTCGTCAGCGCTCTCGCGTTTATTTTAAATAATACGAAGCTTTTTTTTTTCGAACAAAAGCAACAGAATTCGATCGAACGGCGCTAGAATTACGCTGTATCTGGGAAATCCAGGTGAAAAATCAGGTTAACCGTGCAATGCAATCTGCGTTAGTCCGGCGTGCGATAACGCGCGCGCAGAGCAAAATATTTTTGCTCAATCTCGTTAAAAATAATATTGCGAAGTATTCGGCCGTTTTACAGCGATATTTACCGCGAGAATCGCTCGTTTCGCCGCTGAATGGACGGCCGGCGTTTAAGCCTGCCCGTTACACAAGTCCGCCCGGCGTCGTTCTCGTTAGCGTGCAGATTCGCATTCCTATCCTGAATTTGGCCGCAATCTCGATGTTACGGTTGCGCATCCCGTTATGAATAGATTTATTCGGCGCGTTGCGTGAAGCAGGAGCTTTGCGTTCGCATAGCCGCACATAATTAAAATCAATTCTCGAGTTCTCTCTCTCTCTCTCTCTCCCTAAGTACTCACGCTTGCTCGCAGCAGTAGCTGGTAGAAAGGTCTCTCCTGGTAGTCGAGAGACTGCCGCAGCACCAAAGCGCCCACATACGTGTTCTGACTCTTCTCGACGTTGACGATGCCGAACTTCTCGCAGGCGTCCAGAAACTGCAACAAAAGTTGGCCGTCGTCGCTCAATCAAGCAGCAGCAAATGCGTTTCATATTCACGAGACGATTTTCACGGTGTGCAAAGTGGGAGAGTTCGATAACTAAATTTGTGATTTTTTTTTCATTAGCCAAACGTCCAGTCTTGATTAGTTCGTTTTCTCCTGTCGGACATTTATCGCAAAGCTACAGTGTTTCGTCACCTGATTAAAGAATTATAATTTTAACGCTTTAAATGTTCCATTAAACGTTTCGAGTATACAAATAGTTACTTAATTATTCTGTTATTGACAGGACAAATTGGTACAAAGTTGTGCAATATTCATCGAAATCATTAAAAAATTATAATTAATGAACATCGATTCGGAAAACTGATCTTTGCGCAGTTATAAAATAAAAATACATCCCGTTCGTAATTTATCGTAGAAAATATTTAATATATACGTAATACATCAAGTCGAAAATATAACGCGCGAATGAACGTGTTTCTCTAATTTATAACAAATTTACGATAAATTTCCTATTCACTCCAAGCATTTCAATTACTGCACCACCGTTATCGAAGCCGCGGATCGTTAATGAAAAATGTTCCCGTTGATTCCGAATTCGTGGATGATGCACGTCAAATATTCCGAGTACGGTAAACATTAGTTACGTTTAATGACTGAGCGTAATCGCGCGCTGCTCGGCCAGCGGCGCGTTTCCCGAAAACGAAAACATTAAAGTTTGTCGCCGTAAAGCCGCCGAGCCATTAGTTAAAAGGTTTTACGGTTTTATTGGTCGCGCCTAACGGTCCGACCGGAATTTATCGAGCGGATATGACGTAGGGGGTGGCGCGCGTTATACGTACTAATATTCCGCCGCGCGTCTTTCCAGGGAAACGCGCGGGAAAGGGAGAATAGCGTGCGGTGAAAAAGAGGGGAAGCTGCAGGCAGATAATTTTAGCGGGTCCCGAGATGATATACGAATTGGACCCTTTTTTTTCACGGGGGGAAAAAAAACCGCCCGAGCGATACGTTGCGCGTCGTTTTTCCCGTCGACCGAATTCTCGGGGCGTTTCTCCGCGCACCTTCGCCGATGCGAAACGAATGGCGCGCATCGCATAACCGATTGCACGTTACATCGATCGGATACTAAGCAGAAAGCAGTTTTCAACGGCAATTTTCCGCGGTAACATGCTACAATCTTCCGTAAATACGATTTTCGGACGTGACTTACTTTCATAGACTTGCGAACCATGTTTGGAATGAAAACTTATTGCTATGCGATCTGTCAGACATCTCTGAATTGAATTTGTCCCGTAAAATATGTAAAAGTCATATTTCGAGCGACGGTGTCTAGAATAAATTTTTGCGATAGTGTTTTTTCAAATCAACAGTTTGAAAAATTTTATTTTAAAATGCTCTACTTTATGCACGTCCAATATTACTGCACACACACACACTTCATACTTTATAACACATAAATCATCGAAAGATTAAGTGTCCCAATTGTTTTTCATATTTTTCCACAATATTTTTAAAGAGATTTAAGAAGCGCTTATATCTTAACACTGCAAATAAAGGTGTTATTTCGTTGACTTACAAAAGCACAGTTGAGTTAAAATTTTCCTGCTTTCGCAGCGCGGTGATGATAAAATTTCCGCTTACGCATCGGAACGATTAAATTTGCGAATACTCCGTTATTCGCTTGCTCGTGCGAAATAGGCCACGCGTTTTCCGCGGGGGCTAAAAGCCAGGCTCCATGGAGATGATTGTGAAAGTCCGACTACAGAAGCCGGCCTTAGCTGCTGCCGCGTCGTCGACGAGTCCTTGGCTCCCTCGGGCGTGCTGCTCGGCGTTGCGAGGCGAAGCGAGACGAGCTCCGGGTTTATTACAGGATCCGAGCGCGGATAACTTAATGGAAAACTGCGAATTACAAAGCGCAACGGCGCAACGGCGCCGATATTCCTCGTCTCGTCCCGCCTCGCCTTACCTTGCGGACAACACTTCATCCAAGGCGGACTCTTCATTTACGTGAAGCACTGCCACTCGTGCATCTTTTATCCGCTGTGCAGCCGGCTGCATCTCAACGAGGGCCGTCCGTTGTAGCTCGGGTCTGATACTGCGTCGCGTCGTAAAGAAACCGAGACAGAGCGCGGCTCTACGACTCCTTAATAAATCCTTTGAGTGGAAAACAGCTCGTTCTTTTACAGCCTATTTATTACTCGGGTTTTCCTCGGCGCTGGGTCAGATTTAAATCTTCTCATCTTCCACGCTCTATTATATTCTATTTTTTCAATTAATTTTATAACTTTCCAAAATATTTCAAACATTTCTTTCGATGTTTGTATTATATCAACCTTGTGACGGTATACACAATTCATTCGAGAAAGAGGCAAAGTTTTTCACAAACGAATGAACCAAATATTGGGTTGTGTAATAAATAATTTCGGATTTTTTTCGGATACGTAGTGTTATTGTTTTTTATGCAACACGCTTTAAAAAAATTGTGACATGGACGAAACTTGATTACAATTTCAACCGACAAATATTTAATTTGAGTGTTAACCAAACTGCGATTTTCTAACAAAAACAGTAGAAAGATTTATTGAAAAAATCTAAAATTACACAATCCAGTGAATAAATAAATGTCGCGTAGTTCTCTGCTCTCTCGCAAAATATAATTTATAGCACTCGAAATACAAGAAAAGTAGAGAGATAGCAGCAGAAAAATCGTTATACGAATTCACGTGGCACCTGTCAGGCTCCGTTAGGCTTTCATTCCATCATCACAAGTCCGCAAGAAGAGAAGAAAAAGTCACGTTCTTTTTGCCGTGGTAGCGCGCTGCTTCGCAAAGATATTAAGTCCTTGAGTATACCTTGTTGTTTTCTGGGCTAATCCTCCAGTCGGATTGGCCGAAAGATTGGATCGAAAGGGCGCGTGTGTCGACTGAAATTTTTCACCGGAAAGCTCCGCGGGGGGGGGGGGGCAGCAAGAAATTCTGGTCGCCCGATGCGAAACGATGCAAAAGTACCTTTCACGGGACATTTGCCGCGCGCGCACTAACACGTATTAATGACTCACCTGTGGCTGCGGGACACACGTTAGCTCTATGATGTCGCCCAGCAGGTCAGGGTCCACGACCCTGATGCCCGGTAGTATGGTCGAGCCGACCGGGGTGTCCTCCTCGGCGACCGCCTCGTACGGCACTCCCAGGAAGTGCGGCGGATTGTCGTTCTCGTCCAGTACAATCACGTACGCGTCCACGCCGACGATGTTCGGCTGCTGTCCCGCGGGCACCTCGTCCTCCAGAGTCACTCGGAAGCGTATCGTGTCGTTCTCCTGAAAAAGAGTGAAAAAAAAAGTAACGTGAGATCGATTGCCTCGTTATGCCTCGTTCGTAAAATGCTGCACTGCCGTTCGCAGAAGGTTTCAGTCGAATCAGAAAGAACTTATTTCGTATTTAGCGCTGCTATTAAGCTTCTTTGGCTTCAAGTGCCAAAGCATTTTTAAATAAAGGATTCAAAGGATTCTATAATTTCAATAGAGAGAGACTCGTAATTAAATTATGGATTTAGTTTACTTTTCATCCAAACTCTCGAAATGTCGCAAGCGTTGAATAATTTCAATACCACCGGCTTTTCATTAACTTCAGTAATGATTTTGCTTTTGTGCGGACTGTGGATTTAATCCACTATCTTGGGGCGAAACTCTTTAAATGTTTCCTCGCGATCGTTTAATAGGTTCGATACACCACGTACTTCGTATCTAGAACCATTCTCTTTGACATCGCATACTCACGTACCGAGGGTGCGTCGGGACACGTACGGTCCCGGATGCGCGTCGGGTTCTTTTTCGCGCGAAGAATTTTACTGTATCCCCTGCGAAACCTTAAAGGAAGGCACGGGTCGGACGTGCCTCGATTCGTACGTGAGAGAGCGTCGCTTTACGAGATCGATCATTTGCGAACGGGGGTCTTCCGAAAACCCCGGACAACACGAGTTTTCGTCTCTCGACTGAAGGAGAGTCGAAAGTTGTCGCAGCATGTGCGGTAAACGCCCGACTCTATTGGCGGATATATAAGACGGAAAACTCCATTGTGCGGGAATAAAAGAATAAGTACATTTCTCCGGAATTTCGAGAAGGGATTTCTTCGCCGTCTGGTTTGTACGACGTTTGAATTAATTTTTCATCAAACGTATCTTTATCGTAGAGACGTGTCGCGCGTACGTTCCTCGCTCGATAAATACATTATTATGTCGGAATGTTACCAAGTTTACGAGCACACAGTTGGACCTTATAAAGATATTCACTCTCTAGAATAAGAAATTCTCATTTGAGAAGAGGTGAAAGAGTCAAGTCCTAATATTGAAAAAGCAGTTCGAAGTCTGTGTCTAACAAACTCTTCCTGAAGTTTCGTAGGAAGTTCCAAATCCCGGCGCGAAGTTCGTCGAAAAATAGCGAAAGGAAAAGTAACTTGAAAAAAAAACAATTCCTGTCATGTTACAGTAGGAAAAAAAATTTAGTGTTTTTAACCAGATTTAGTTGTTCTGGCCAAAATAACTTTTACATTTTGTTGTTTTGATCGAATAATGCAGTTAGAAAATTTTCAATAAAATTGAGATTTTATATTTAGTTTGAATAACCAAGTTAACAAAGTTAATTTAATAAAGCAAAATTGGATTTCCAGTGAGAAATACAGGTCGAAACAACATCTATTAGATGTCTACTAGACATCTGTACAACAAAACATTTTTGTTTAAATTAATAAAACTTGTTTCGTTAATATTTTTTAGTCGTCCTATCAAGAAAAGAGAAAAATGTTAACAAAGACATTTGTTTAAGATAACTAAATAGATTTGGTGGATAAAAGTATTTTCGCTGTAATGCAATTATCTCCGCCAAGATACGTAAAATAAAAAAAAAGAACGTTTTATCGTAATTTTAACAACACGCTTGAAAAATTACAGAACAACAGAGTTAACGTATAACTCAAAACTTATTACGGTAATTTGCTGGAAATATTGAAACGCTTGAAAAGCTCAGCGAAAAAAAAAGGTTAAGTCGTTTCGAGCATATCGCTTGGAAGTTTGAGAAAGATGGAAAAGTGGGTAGCGCGGGGGTTTAGTAGTAGCTAACGAGGTCGAGGGTGGGAAGATGGCACTCAAAGTTCCTGCCAAGTGTGTGCATGTACCCAATTGCGCATGCATTAGAATATATACATATTTACGCGGTAGATAGTCTCCCAAAGGCGTCACGGCAGCGGAGAACAATAATAATGGCAATACACTGACGGTGCAGTTGAATTTGCCTGTAACATATTGCGATGTAAATGCAGATACGAATTTCGTCGTAAGAAAGCGATCGTAATCCAAGTCGTCGCGTGCAAATTCAGATAAGTGAAAAATTAAAATTTTAAAAAAAAGTTTGTCCAAAATTATGTATACAGGGTGTTTCGTAACGCCCCGTGCCAACGCTCGTGTGCGGGTGGAGTGCGGTAAACTGAAAAGTCCTTCACCGTTTTGCAATTTTTGCAATAATAATTGGGATATTAATTAAAAAGGATTGACGAGTAATCGCGCGTTGCGCGCGACTAGATCATGGGCTGTACACTCTAGGCGTGACAGCAACGAGGATCGCGCGACAACGAAAAATAACAACGCGTATTACTGCTGCTCTCGCCGTGCGTTGTTATTTTTCGTTGCTGTCACGCCTAGAATGTACAGCCCATGGTCTGGCCGCGTGCAATGCGCGATTGCTCGTCAATCCGTTTTAATTAATATCCCAATTATTATTGCGAAAATTGCGAAACGGTGAAGGACTTTTCTATTAAGTTTGCCGCACTCTACTCGCACACGAGCGTTGGCACGGACACTATGAAACACCCTGTATATACAAATAATTTCTCAATAAAGCACGCGATGAACTAGTATTATGAAACTGTAACAATTTTATCGCTAGATTACGGGAGTCTACAAATAAACATCGCATGCGATTACAACAATGCAACGGAGTGATTAGCAGTAACATGCGAGTCATAACGCGAGTCGTAACGCACTTGATGATACACCGTGATACACTAACGTTATCATATCCGCCATGTTCCAGTAATTATAGCGCCGAACGTTGAAAATTTCCTGCAAAGCGGATAATAACGCACACATAGTAATCGCGCGGACGTAATAATGTCTGTAACGCTCGTGAAATCATTCGACGACTCGGCCGATGGGGAGAGAAAGAGAGACGGAGAGCGAGGCATCGCGTTCTAACTTACTTTCGCTTACAATCGCATCGATTTTGCGGAAACTCGATGCATAATCCGTGACGCGGGGTGCCTGCGTGCACACGCACGGTGAGTTTGCACGCTGCAATTTCAGCTTTCCAATGAGATGGGTTTCCTCTGCACGAACGCCAATGAACCCGAGATGTCCCGTCACCTCCGATAGAATTCCATTTCCATTAGAAGGAATCAATAATTAAAGGGAATCGAAAATAAAGAAATACAGGGAAAAGAATAAAAGAGGAATAAAAGATCAATAAATTCAACTCTTGCAAAACTGGCAACATGTAGATTATAATAATGTTATATCGAGACTGTCGCAAACTCAGCATTTATAAAAATTTATAAAAAAATATTAAATTAGACTTTACAAAATTAGCATTATACAGACATGTCCCACTTCTGTTATATTTATAATAGCAAATCTTTCGGAAAATTTAGATCACACTATCTTTAATGAAACTCTAATCGGATACATTCTTTGATATTTCAAATAGATTATTGTATTTCCAACCATGTTTTTAATAGCAAACTCTTTAGTAATTTTATAAATTATGTTAATTGTTTCTAATAAAGTTGTACGTTGCAACGTTGATTGAATCTCTCGATATAATTACTAAAATACTGAATCTGGGATTCTAAGGTAAAAATATTTTATCGGAGCATCCCGAATTATACGTTCTCGATTCAGTGATAATTTAGGATGAAGTACATCTAATATTCAGTCTGATTCGATGCATTCTGCATCTTTGCGGCATAAAACTCGATAAAAGTTAATAAACTGAACTTCTATTTCGAACTGGATTCAAGCGATGCTAGGTAAAATTATTGTAAAAAAAAAATACCATCTCAATTCTAATTCGGATGATTTCGCGTGTGAAACGCTTTCTCATAAATTCTTTGCAACTGCGCTGGATGTTCATCGTAAATGCGGACTGTAAAACGCGACGCTCAAAATAGCGTTGGTCCACCGGATATCAACAGTGGGTCACGCGAGAATAAAGGTGAACCGAAATGGAAACGAGTTTCATCTCGCATCCGTCTCTACGCGTGTCACATCGGAGGGAAAATTTTTCTACTATGAATTTGGTTGACCAAAATAAAAAAAAAAAATAAGCAGCATTATTATCGTACGCGATGTGTGCGCGAACGGCCGGAACGTTGAAATTACTTAAAAGCGACCTACTTCTCGGTCGGAGAATTTCCAGCGGCATCCCCGCAGTGGACGATGTCAATAATTGCACGCTACGGTGGCTTGATTCGTTCCACTTAAATCATCGATATTTAGTAGTCGCGATTAATCAAGTCGTTACATTCGACTTGATGCGCCGTATCGCATTTCTGGTTTTTCCAGAACTTGGAATTATATTTTAGATAAACGTAATTAAAACAGAACTTTGAAAAAAAAAAACAATTACTCAAAAATGCTGAAGTTTTAAAAGATACAAAAAAAGTAAAACGCATTAATATAACCGCACAAAAGTGAGATCTCTTTTACCACTCATTCTTATTCCATTATTATTTCTATGCCAGCGGCGGATTCGCTGAAACAGAATTTTTTTCACGTGCAAATGCGTAAAATAGCACCTCGCATAACAAAAACTCATTTGGAAAATATATGAAGAAATATATCTCTTCGTATTCTTAATATTTGTGCCGCACACATTAAAAACATTTTATTGCGGCGATGTTTTGTATTAAAAAGACAATCATCATTGATATGATGGTTTTTACTGGCAGAAAGTAATAGTACACCGCCGAGATAGCGTAAAAAGGGAGGCGAGTAATTGAAATGGCCGGATGCTGACAAAGTTGCCTGTTTCCATTTTGTTTGGCTGGCATCTTCCGTATCTTTGCGTGCCTTTGAGCAACTTTCGAAGCTTTGGCGAAGGATGGACGGGCGAATATACAGCTCCATTGCAAAAACGGATACAAATGCGAATAAAAGGTGGATACTACAGCTTTGCTATCGTGTTTGCTTTTGCACTGTCGGAAATACGTAATCAGAGCGAATGACGTGCAACGTGAACATGCTTCTATAACGTATAGATTAATTGCAGCT